CGATTCCCGTCCAATCCCGCCCGCTGTCTCTGTCACTCCTGCCCGCTCCCACCCACGACAATCTAAAACCCGCCCAATCCCGTGAGATTTGCGTTGGGTCCCACGGGACCCGTGGGATCCCGCTCCCAATGCAGGGCTCTACCTGGGAGTACAGCAACGGGGCAGTGTGCCGCCTCAATCCTGAAGTGCCAGATTTGTGCCCGTTGTACACTATTGCTTTGCCGCACTTCACACAACACACAAAGTTCAGCTCTTTACCCTCTTTGTTTGTTACAATTTTAAAGTTTTTCCATATCTCCGATTTCCCCAGTTTTAGTTTTGTTTTATATTCTCCCTTTGCAATTTTATTAACAACATCAGCTGCATCCTCCATCCTGCTAAACTAACAATTTTGGGACCCGCTGTCTATTTTTATCCCGCCCGCTATCTCTGTCACTCCCGCCCGCTCCCGCCCACGACAATCTAAAACCCGCCCAATCCCATGAAATTTGTGTTGGGTCCCGCGGGACCCGCGGGATCCCGCTCCCAATGCAGGGCTCTAATCTGTACCGTCCTCCGTAGTTGTGTTCTTTAGTATTAGAACTAGTCTTCAGCAGTGAAAGATGACGCAAGATGGGTACACAAGAACAGTCAAGTAAGCATGTTGACATTTGCCCACTTTGAATGAATTCTCAGTACTGGCATTCACTTGATTGGGCTTACTTAAATGAGCTTGAATATTTAGGCTTCCATACAGATGCCTCTGGTTGGCCTGACACAGACCTTGTCTGGGTAACAGGGCCCAGGTGTGATATGGTCCAGCTGGCTGCAGTGAGTGGCGGGCACAGCTTCAACCTCTACATGGTTCCTCGCTGCAGGATGCAGAGCGGGGCATCTGCAGTGACCGGTCTCCGCGTCAGGCGGCGTTGCCTCTACATGCATAATGTCCCCGTTCCCACAAACACCCACCAGGAGGTGCTGACGGCTTTCCTCGCCTTCCTGCGGATGCTGGACCGCCCCCTCCTCATTGGCCACAACATCAGGAAATTTGACTGCCCTGTGCTCTACAGGGCCCTAGAGGAGTTCCAATTGAGCTCTGAGTTCCAGCGTAGCGTCTCTGGCTTCCTCGACACTCTTCCCCTGGCCCGAGACCTCCTAGGTGACCGTGGTCTCCAGAGCTACCGGCAGGAGAGCCTGGTGAAGGCCGTCCTGGGCGCCCGCTATGCCGCACATGACGCCCTGGAGGATGTTCGAGCCCTACAATGCCTCTATTCGGCTCTCCAGCCCACAGCTGAGCAGGCCCTCCGTCACACCTTCACCCTGCCCGTTATGGAGCCAGGAGCAGCCAGCCAAGTGAAGCGGCACTGCAGGCATCCAGGACAGCGCCCCCTGTGGTGTTATTTGAGGCCAATGGCACAGGCGTCCCCTGAGGCTGCAGGGCAGAGCCTGGTAGCCAAGGCTATTTAAGAATTTTAATATTAAAAAGGCTAAGATTCTATACAATCCATCAAAGGTGAAAATATTTGGTTTCTGTTATTGTGCAACATGGCAATGAACCATTAAAAATGGAAAGAGATTTCTAGCCTGAATAAAATGCCCTTTTAAGTAAGTTATATATAATAAAGTCAATTTAGTTACTACGTATTCATTTGGTTACGCTGGAGTGAAATCTTACACTACACCCTTCTGGCCTGCAGAGGGTGCTAGAAACTGTACAAATTGGCTAAAATGTAGTACGTCCGTGACACTGTGTGTGTGCGTGTTTGTGTATAAATTTTAAATAAAGCAGGATTCAGTGGTATAGAGTGGATGTTGTCTTAAGCCAGGTAGGCGGTCTAGCTTCTTCTTGTTACAGTTTGTATTGTGCCATAATGTCATGAGTCCATTTCCTTTGAAGATCACATTGGGTGATGATTTAATGATAAAATGAAGGGCTCTGCTGTAACACTCCTACTCCATTAAAAAGGGACATCGTTCTATCAGCCTTGAGGTTTCTTGTTATTGGGTTTTTAGGATATCAGCTGTATCCTGTTTTTCTTATCAACCAGGTCACTTTGGGAGGGGGTTTCCTGTTGTCAACAGACCTTTAAGTGTGGTTTTAATAATCATAACATTGGAAAGTCAGCAATATACCAGTCCCCCAAACTTCCACATTTATCCTTAAGGCATACGATACAGTACAAATGTTAACACATCTTTGCATATTCTCAGACTGCTTTCCCCACACTTTCTCTGATATTTTCCATCATTGCTTTCTGCTATTGTGTTCAATTATTTTGTCCTGCATTTCACATTCCCGACCTCCTTACATGCAAACGGTCACCACGCCCCTCTCGTGCTGGTCACAGAAGGTCAGGTTACAGTATCAGTTCACTGTTACTTCTGAACAAACCTTTATTGAGATTTTCCACATTCTGACAGTCTCAAGTACAAACCCATGCTGGACTTAAAAATGCAGACTCATTCAGTCGTGCAAAATGCATTCTCTCAATTGTAGATATCACTTCAGACTATTTATGCAATAACAGTACATTCAAACCTCATAGGAGGTAATTATTATTAAGATACAAGGTACAGTATAGTGCCAAACAACAGTCTTCCAACCTTGGCTGTTCAAGAACAAAGCATAATTTGACTTTCTGGTCAACATACTGAGGAAAGAGGCTTCAGTAGCAGTTGAACTTAAGGACGGTGTAGATAGTGTTGGTCTTCCCATGTTTCTATAATACTTCTCCAAAGGCTCATAATAAGATAAACTGATTCTACTGGTAAGTCTGCCAGTTAAACAGAGGTTTGCATATGTTTCCCAGTTTAACCTGGACCATTTTTAACCAGTCCCCGCAACTCCAGATGATAAAATTAAAACTGGTATAAAGCCCGTCATCTTTATTATAATGGAAGAACTTTTTTTTTCAATTAGTCTGAAATACTTAAAGCTCTAATTCTCAGTAGGGAGATGGCTGACACTGTGTAAAATAAGGGATTAATATGACACTAATAATTCAAGATTCAGGCATATGCAAAGAGCAGGCATTTCTATGGTGGTTGACTCCCATTTTCAAATCATGCACAAACACCTTTTCATGGCGCAATAACTGTAGATAAATAGATAAATAGATGTAATTTATTTCCGGCTGAATCATTCACGATCTGAGAGAAGGATGCTTTGAGGACTGTAATGCTTCATTCTTCAGAATACTGGTACGTGCGTGTGTGTGTGTGTGTGTGTGTGTGTGTGTGCGTGGGGGGGGGGGTGTCCTTTATTCATTGTGCTTATCAACAGTTTTACTATATATGTCTGCAAGGTCTACTGAACTGTAGCAGCTGAACCAAGGTTCAAGATTTCACATAGAGCCCCTGCTTTTTGCTGGTTTTATCTTGGCATGAGGGCCAACACAAGACGGCGGGGAGGGGTTACAGGAGACAGCAAGCACGAAACATCGTCATGCCAGACGGGGAGAGGGTGTGCAGGATCACGCCCTCGTTGGCCGAGATGAAGAGCACAGATCCGCGGCCAAGGTGAAGGTCAGACAGGGCGGCGGGCGAGGAGGCAGTGGCCTCCCCCTGCACCACGAGCAGGATCCCCGCGCAGTCCAGTGGAGACAGCAGGTACTGCTTGGTTGCAGCTGGAACCTGAGGGGGAAGGGGGATCATGAGTCCACGGCAAGGGGGAAGGAGAGAGCAGCGGGCACCGACGGGATAGAGGGGAGGGGAGGGAGAGAGCCGTGGACACTGAAGGACTGAGGTGGGGGGGAATCTCGAGCCCGAATGATATAATTCAGAAAAAGACTAACAGACATTGCAGAGTATGACCGTAATAGGATTTAACTACATATCCACAGTTAAACAGAAACCTAAACAGACTGTCAGAGTTTAACAGTCCAGGGCTGAGGGTTACATTACCTGTATCTTAATGACGGTGAAGTCGGGCACAGGGGGGTCGTAAAGGAAGACGCAGGGGTCAGAGGGGTCCGGCACAGGAGAGAAGATTTTGGCGCTGGGGGGGGCGGGGCTGTAATCCAGCATCTCACAGAGGGTGCTGACGTCGATGAATTTGGGCGTCAGGCCGGCGCGCACCGTGTTGTCCGAGCAAGCCATGCACTCAATACAGTCTGTGGGATGGGAAGCAGGACAGGTGGTGTTAGCTACGCGGTTAAATCGACCAGGAGCGCGTGTGTGTGTGTGTGTGTGTGTTTGGGGCCGAGCGCTAACCTCCGAACAAGTAGGCGTGTGGCTCATTGGCCCCCAGAAACATGGCCTCCCCAGGCTGAAGGGTGACACGGTTCAGGAAGTAGATGGAAAAGCAGCCGATGTCACCAGGGAAGTGCGAGTGTAACCGTAGTAACAGATCACCATTACTGCCTGAGGTGTCCTTCCCTGCAGCAGCTTAGAGGTGAGGAGGCATAACAAATTAAAAGTCTAAATTATTAATACATGGATCATCACTATTATGTCACTGAGCATTGAAAGTCTTCAGTAGAAATGAAAATTGTTCTATTAAATGTTCTGTGCATTCAGAGTTTGTCATACTGTCTACACAGAAGGGTTCACAAAAATCTCATGAAAGATTTATATTCTGACGCTGTACTCAAACCAGTTAATGTGGATGTTTAGCTGATGAACAGCTGTTCCCTGCCGTGCAGCCCATATGCCTGCTACCACCCTCATTCAGGCGAATTCTCACCTTCCTCTGTAACTCTCTTCACCAGCACGTTCAGCTGGTCCACAAACACCTTCTTCTCGCAGTTCATCATGTGCGTGAAGCACTTCCTGAGAACCGCCGGCACGTGGCCCGCATCCTCCGCACTGCGCCTCAGCTCTGCTGCCGCATCAGAGCCCACCAGGGTGTGGAACTCGGGGACCGCTGGGCACAGGGACACACCAGGGTCACCCCCCCCCACCGACAACGCGGCCGAGGGCGCCCTCTGCACAAACTCCGCTATGGGGCAGCCATGCAGAAGCCGTGTGGGGCTATGCTCCACTTTCCCTTTAGGGCAGTGGTTCCCAGTCCAGTCCTTGGGGACCCACAGACAGACCACGTTTTTGCAAAAATGTGGACTCTGGTTGGAAGTTGGGTGGAAGCAAAAACATGGAGCGTCTGTTGGTCCCCGAGGACCGGACTGGGAAACAGTATTTTAGGGCATTATCTTTATATGTCCTAACTAAGTAGGGCAATCTTCAGTTTGTCCTGACTTTCCAGGTCTGACCCAAAGATCTTCTACTGCAGTATTTGCCAACCCAGTACTGAGGGACACCCAGACAGTCCACATTTTTGCTCCCTCCCAGCCAATCAAAAACCCTAAATATGTGGTAGAGGTGTGTTGACAGTTGGGAGGGAGCAAAAATGTAAACTTCTGGGCTTCCCTGGGAACTGGGTTGGCAAACACTGTCCTACTGGGTTAAGGTCAAGACCCTGGACTGGCCCCCAACCTACACATCATTTCCATGAACATTTACTTAACATTTTGGCTTGGGTGATTTATACAGATGTGTATGTAAGTGACATATCACATGGCAAAAAAAGACGACTCTGGGATACGTACATTTGAGGAATCCTAAAATTTCTTGAACAGGGCGAAAACCACAGAGTCCCTCAAACTGAGTTAGTGCGATTGCCATCTCAGGCTTGTGGTTTTCGTCTGGGTAGTGCTGAGGAAACTGCGCGTGAAGCTTTGCCGCAAGCTCCTAGAGAAACCAAGCAAACACACTACTCTGGATGGAGGTTTGAGGATATGAAGCCTGCATGAAACATCCTCTACGCAGCCCTACATTTACATGACGTCCATTAAGCAGACGCTTTTGTCCAAAGCAATGTTCAAGCAAGGCAGATTGCTAGCATACCAAAGTCAAGGGGCCGAGTAGACATAAGTGCAGCTAGGATGAGGAGCAGACATAGTGTTGATGCACCTCACATCCTGCCTTACCCTATTGGGATGGGCTTGGATAGACAGCGCCGTGTTCACTGATAGAACCTTAAACAGGAAAGGTAGCTGTCCCTGGAAGGTGTCTTTGACCTTTGACCCCAGGCAGCCTGGATAGTCTGCTATCCATTGGCTCAGTGTCTTCTGCCGTATTCGATTGTCCTTGATGAGGGCATCTCCTTTAGGATGAGCACCCATCCAAAGCTGAGAAACAAGACCAAGAATTAATGTGGTCCTTTATATGTTGCTAAAATATGTAATACGATTGCTAAAAAATACCCATCTATGCGATTTTAAACAGAAAATTACACAAAATATATATGAAATAAGTCCTAATTCAAGTAAATGTTTTATTACAGTTCAGAAAAAAATGTTCTGTCATCAAAGACAAATATAGTTTAAATTATGTCACCTCTGCGTAAGGCTTGTCATCTTCAATGATCACCAAAGGGTCACTTCCAGCGATAAGTTTGGCCACTTCACTGTTGAATCCCAATTTTCCCCAGGCATAGTTTTGGACCACACCCGATAGTGGAAATACTGTCGAATATAAAGACAGTACAGTACTAAATGCCAGCCCCATAGTAACTAAATTGTTCCGCAATGCTACATTTTCTGAAACATCCTAGTTTTGAAAGAATCATAACATGATATTGTGTGGTTTGACTGCATCACTCTTAGCATGTTCATGATATACATAATTTCCTTGCATTTAATTTACAGTAAATTTTCTTCACCTGTAAGTTGGCTTTAACAAAAACGTTTAGGTCTACTGAATAAAAGTAAATTTTGCATGTATAAATTACCTCTAAATTTGTACGTGTTAATATGATGTATACATTAATATGCCTTTGTTATATAGCTGGACACTGTTCTGAGCTCGGACTTGAACCAACAGCCTTTGTAAGTGCAAATTGAATTACAGTACGTTGTTACTTGTACAATATCGCTGACCAGCTGTGCTGCGTCTAAGGACACACCACGCACTTTTAAGACGCCCCCTTAATCGTTGCAGCGTCGCATTATGATGCCATTTCGCAGTTAAGCGACACTGATTCAAAATGAATCTTGCCTTGACCTTAGTAAAGCCAGCAAATAAACTAATAACGTTAACAAATGAAAACGAGTCTGACATTTAAACGTAACATAAATTACATTATTTACATTTAATTTCATGACCGCCTCCGCGTTTTATCGGGCTTCTCCCCTACAGCTGCCGGCTCGATGGGGATGTTGTTTCTGTGCATTTTCATACTCCCAAGTCAAGACAATATAACATCACATTATACACATCGTATTATAACGGGAGTTTTTTTGCTCAGCTTTCCGTATTTCGTACAGTCGTATTTCTTTGTGGGGGGAAAAATACGAGCAATCGAAAGGAAAATAAAACTGACCTCTTACTTCCTCCATTGCTGCAGCGTCGGATGACATATGCAAGTGACGTCACTGTGAAACACGCCCAAAGCTCCTGTTCGGTCAGGCTGCGGCATCTTACGGCGCCTAGAGACGCATTTCACAGTGTATCGGGCATGGGTCAGCGTGCGTTCTGCATTGCAAACTTGATCTGACATTTATGCTTGTATTTTACGGCAAAATGTGGTCGCTTGCCGCGTTATAAGATTAACAATAAAGCACATTCCAGTGCAGCAAGTGACAGCTTGTTTGTATGCGAATTAATAATAAAATAAATGTTTTGTTGTGCAAAATAATTACAAAATTCTATAAAAAGGGAACGGGAACGCGAAACAAGTTGAACCACAGATTTAGCGTGCGCGGCCACCCGCGCTCCCGCCTGACCACGCGCGCCCTCGGTACGAGCGCGAGCTTAGCGCGCTGCTGCGTTTGTCTTCGCTGTGCTAAGCGGCGGCGTCCAGGTCGAAATGTCGGAACTGATCGGCGGCATCGAGCCGGAGCCGGCGGATGTTAATCCGTTTCAGGTAGGAAAGTCGACTCTGCGGACGGGCACCGCTCGGGCTACGTCTTCTGTAGAAGAACGGTTGAGGAAAAGGCTGCTTATTGCCGCAGTTTGTCTGCTTGGGCCCAGTGAACCTCCAGCCGTGTCCGCGTTCGACAAGACCGCCTGGTGTTATAGGTGTAGGTCGCTTTTCACCTGCGCAACACTTTATTTATTTAGGTAGTAGAGCCAAACCAGCCTTCCGATAAACTATTCAACTGCTTAACTGTCAGTGGTTATTAGTATAAGTTTAGCCGAGCGATGTGCTTCATGGCCATTTAGCAGGTCCTGATGTTGAGGTTATCGGGCGTCTCTATGGTGCTTTGGGCTCACAGCCCGCTTCCAGGCGGGGGCTGGACACCGGACAGTAGGCTTAAGCAGGACTAGCCGGCCGAGAGAGACGATGTTGTAAAACGCTCCGATTAGATTGCAGATAACATGCTGATTGAAACGGCGGTGCATTTATCATGTATCTACATGTATTTATTGTAACGAAGCTTTGCGGGCCGCTGTTAAATAAATAGCTGGCTGTTTTTATGCAACCGATGGCGCTCTCCTCGCTGCGAGGTTCCACTTCGACTAATACAGAGAAAGGATGTTACTAAAGCAGAGAGACTTCCTTTCAATGTTACCAGTAACCTTGCATTTTGCCGTTTCTGTAACAATGTAACACTAAGGCCTAATTATTTTTAAAGCACTGTTCCCTTTAGAACAATGACATAATCTTTGACATCCTGTAGCCTTGGGTGTGTACCGGGCTTTTGTATTTCTGTGTACTTAAGGTGCTGTGTCAATACACACGGCTTTTAATATAGCAGGATTTCATGTCTCCTCTCTAGGGCCCAGACGATAGATTCAAACAATATTTAGAAAGAATATGTCCAGAAATGTGATTCAGCATATTCACATTACAGTGATAATTTCTAATGTGTTATGAACATTGAAATTTCGAATGAAATTGCAGTGCAAATGGAACCTGTAGTACAAATTAAATACAGAGAAAATAAAACATCCAACAACTCACCCTAATACACCTTTTGATCTGGGTAATGTTTGCTTGCTTGTGTGAATTCATCAGAGGATGTCATACTTAAAGAGAATCTATTGAAGTTGAGATGTTTCATTATGTGTAGTGTGTGAATGAAATAATATGCCTTTTCGTATTATAATGAAAATCAGTCGTTGTATTTGTTGAGGAGAAGTTTGAATAAATGTTGTGAGGTCTGTTTTTTTTTTGTTGCATGCCTTTCTCTGTTTGAAACTTAGCCTCTTCTAAAGGCTGGTTATTGTACTTTGTGTGTAGGATAGTCCAAGTTTCAGAAAACGTCCTAATTTGGAACCTGACACTCCACATCTTTTTTTTTTTTCCCCCCAGTTTTCGTGAACATTTTTTCCCAGTATCCTTAAATTGTCAGGTGGTTCATGTTATTGAAGTTGGTCTGTAATGGTGTATTTTTTGCCAAAGGGCTCAGTTTATAATACCTGGCATCAGTTCTGCTGTAACCTGTAAGTGCATCATTATAGGTCAGACCATCTTGTGTTGCTGGCTCACTTGAAGATGAAAATGATATTCTACCTGTTGTATGGATTTCAGGATCCCTCAGTAACGCAGGTGACTAGGACTGGTGTGGACCAGCTTGAGGAATTTAATCCTTTCACAGAGAACACAGTGTCGGTAAGATGCACCTTTTTTTTTAATTATTATTTTAAATAAGACATATTTTGTTGCTGAATTGAATTACTTCTAAGGGAGTACTGCCTTTGTATTGATAATGTATGCCTATTTTTGTTGCCATTTACTCACAAATTTATTGGTTTACTGCAGTTTCTCTCAGAAGGTAATGAGTTTGACCTTTAACCAGGGTGACAAGCAGGACCATTTCTCGTGTCCATTTCCTGCTTGCCAATGCTCTAATGTGACGCACCCAGAATCAGGCAGCTGTTCCGTTTCAGGCCAGCCAATTGGGGAGCACTGTCCCCGCCTCCACGCCAGCTGTCCTGCAGCCATCTGTGGAGCCCAGCCCACAGGTACAGGTCCTCCAAGGGGAGACCCCCCTCTCACACACTGCTGCTGTAATTGGTGAGCTGCCTGCCTGCCTTGCAGCCCCCGCTGGCTTCCCGCCCCAATCCCTCCTGCCTTCTCTCTTTCTCTCTCTCTCTCTCTCTCTCTGTGGCTCCCTAAGGCCAATCCATGCTTCACTTTTCCGTGTGCGCTTCCAGCCTGCGCACGCGGCGAGTGACGTGCATTTCGTCACCAGGAATATGCACCGGATGGTGTGAGTGTAAAGCCGAGATCTATTTGTCCAGCAGACATTATGCACGTCGGTGCAAGGAAATTAACTAGGTGATTTCAGTAGGCAGCACCACTGATTTTCACAGAGCAGAGGTCAACGAAGAAAGAGAAGAATAATTGTAGTTATGGTGAGCAGCAAATGAGGAGGTGAGGAAGTACCTGCATATTTTTTGAAATATGTACATAGGGTCCATGTGCATGACCCTATAATGGCACATGGATAAGTGAAGTATGAACTAGGCTTTATTGCCCTGCACCTTTCTGTTACTTTCCTGGTCTCTCCATGCCTGCTCTGATTCCTCCTTTCTCGCCAACCTTTTCTTGGTTCTCTCTCTTTCTGTCCGCCAGCTGCTCCTGCTGCTTCTGAGGATTGCCCAGTGTTAAACTGGGAGACTCTACGGCCATTTTAAGTTTTAAGGTCTGTGTAATGAATGATCCTCTAAAATGGTGTTTTATGTTGCATTATGTGGCCACAACGCAGTAAAAATTAACATGTGGGTGGTACGTCTTGAATGAACTTTCATTGCGGCTGCATGACGCTAATGAAATACATGGCAGTTGGATGTAATGTGGATCTAGTGGTCTGTAAGTTGCATGTTTTCACTCTGAACTAAAAGTCGTGTTCATTTTTACCAGTTTACCCATCTTATTACTGAGACAGTTAATGGTTTGGAACTAGGAACCATTTTTCATGTATGAGTGAAAGCCATTGACTGGTATCCTGTCCAGGATAGACCCCAGCATTGTGCTTTGTGCTATCTGAGACAGACTCCAGCCCCCACAATGATCTTGAGAAGGATAAGTAGTTGGATGGATGGTTAAAGGTCTTCATTGCATTATAGTTTTTTCAGTGTAATATAGTTTTCGTAAATATGGCTAAAAGGCAAGCTTCCTGCTTGTTGTATAGCTGTCTGTTTCACTTCACATCCTTTGAGCACTGCAGTAGGTGACGTGACAGGGAGACACTGTAATTTTCGACATTCCCCCCATCCCGGTGCCCATAGGCCGCTGCAGCAGCCGGCCAGGCCAACCTGCTCCGCCAGCAGGAGGAGCTGGAGAGGAAGGCGGCTGAGTTGGAGCGAAAGGAGCAGGAATTACGGAACCGGGCTGCCGCCACAGGTGAATTTTCGTTAAAAACTTGAGTATTATTCAGAAACCCTTTGGCCATTCAGCGAACCCAAACTTGAATTTCTTTAGCAAGTTTTTAACTTGCTAATGTCAACAAATGCATCAGTGTCAATTGGCATTTTTCCACTGGCATACGGGAACCAAGCTGCACCTCGACGAGAGACTAGTTACAGTGCGGTTACAGTGCGGTTCCAGCTCGCTTCGGTTTTGCACTGCAGAAGAGTCGACTCGGTAAAAGCGCTGCCAGGCTTGAAGAGCAAGAGTGACGTAAAACCGAAGGGATGCTTATGTACTTGTTCACATGGTGTACATCATGATTGACCATGTGCTATTCATTTCTGCTAGCAAGTCTGTGAGAATCACCTTGTTGGCATTGAAGGCTAGTGGAATTAGCATTTGTTTGTGTAATTTTGCATTATGAATTCTTTACGGAAATTTTTAAGTTCCGTGTTATCCGGAACACATCAATACATCACAATGTGCGATACTACTACTAATGAATAATATATAGATCAGGGTTCTTCAAATCTGGACCTTGATTCCAAATCCAGGCCTTGTTTTCAGTTCTCCCAGGTAGTTAGTTTAATAATGACTGATTCTGATTAGTCAGAGGCTTCACACCCGGCTCACAGGTAAAGGAAGGCTGGAAAACCAGCAGGACTCGGCCCTTGAGGACCCTGATTTGAATAACCCTGCTATAGATTATGCACTTTTTTCCTTCAGATAATCCATGCATATCACCACAGAACACCGGTTTCTCCCTGCATTTCAACCAACCAGATGGTAACTCAACCAGTTTGGTTGGTCACACTTTCAGCCCTGCTAGTTAACGGTTATGTTGGCTCTGGTACAGGCTCGGATAATGTACTATGGAAAACCATCAGTTTGTGGTACAGCTTGGTTCTTGGTGGCAGTAGAAATGTGCCAAATACTGTCTCCCACTCACCTCCCTCCCTCACAGTCCATTTGAACTTTCCACTCCTTTGATAGGCAAAGAAAACAACTGGCCCCCCCTGCCGAAGAGCTTCCCCATCAAGCCCTGCTTCTACCAGGATTTCTCAGCAGAAATCCCCACTGAGCACCAGAGACTTTGCAAGATGATGTATTACCTTTGGATGTGTGAGTATGGCACCCAGCAG